CCCAACTTGATTTTTGTAGGTTCGATATTTTGACCCGATCCACTTTAATTTGATCCAAGTCAAGTCTGACTTGATTTGAATTTTTTTGAACTAGTTCAAAATCGGATCGGATCTGACCTGACTTGGTTTTTGAAGTGCGTCTGACTTGGTTTTTGAAGTGGGTCAAATTTGACCTGACCCTTTTTTTACTTGGTTTCGTCACAAAATTTCTACGTTGCAAACGACAAAAATTTTGTCACAAAATTATTTTTTCGTCAGAATATTTGTTGTTGAAAAGCGACGGAATTTTTTCTCTAATGAAATTTTTTACAAAATTAGATTTTCTATCGAAATTTAGTTTTCGTCAAAAGTTTTGACGAAAATGATTTCCTCCATCAAATGTTTTAAACAAAAAAGAATTCAATCAAAAATATTGACAGAATGTTTTTCGTTCAAAATGTTGATGGGCATGTGTTCTGACGAAAATTTCGACGGAAATTGTTTTGAGGGAAATGTTTCATTCGAAACTTTCGACGAAATTTAGATTCTCTAAAGAATTTTTGACAGAAAATTTTTTTCGTCAAATTTTTTTTCAAAATATTTTTAGTCAAAAAATTTTACGACATTTTTTGACAGAAATGTGTTCCGTTGAAAATTTTGATGGAAATAATTTTTATCAAAAAACTTGACGAAAATATTTAGTCGAAAATTTTCGATAGAAATGTGTTTCGCTAAAATTTTGATGAAAATTATTTTTTGTCAAAAAGTTTAACGAAAATGTTTCTGTCGAAAACTTTCGCCGAAATTTGAATTCTGTAAAGAATTTTGTTGAAATTTTTTTCTGTCAAAAAATTTCTTTGAAAATGTGTTTTGTCGAAATTTTAGATGAATATGTTTTTTCGTGAAATATTTTGACGAAATTTAGATTCCGTAAAAAAATTTGACATAAAATTTTTTCCGTCAAATATTTTTACAAAAATGTTTTTAGTCACAAATCTGATGAAAATATTTTTCGTAAAATTATTTTGATGAAAATATTTTCCGTAAAAAATTTTGACGTAATTGTTTTACGTTAAAACTTTTTTTTTAATGTGATTTTGATATTTTTTTCTTTTTTTCACATAATGGGTATGGGTTAAGTTTCGGGTCAATGGGTGATTATTAAAACAAGTCAGGTCTAAAACTGACCCAAATAAAAGTGGATCAGTATTTAAACCAGTTAAAAAAATAGGTATTTATGAGTCAAGTCAAGGTCAGATCGAGAGCAAGGCAAGTGAACCAGTTTTTTGTACATCCCTACATATAACTAGTCCAGGTGAAGCAACATACCGGCCATGCATTAAAATCGATGCAACCCAACCAATTTTCATAAAAATCGATGACTCAGTTGATTAATCGGTGACCCTGTCCGATCCAAAAAAAATCAATTTTTTTTTTCAAAAAAGTAAATTATAATCGACATATTTGAGTATTTTTTATTTATTAATTTATATAAATTATGTATCTTCAACACTAATATTATCTCAATAATATGTTATGCAAAAAAAATTTGATTTGATTTATAACTAGAGATGTCATTTGCTGAACCTGAAACTTATATTACGATTATTATATTTTTTGATTCTTTATTGAATAATAATATATGATTTAATATTTTTTATATTAAAATATTTAAAATTTACTTATTTTTCTTTAAATATTTAAATATATTTATAATTTTTTAATATAAATTATAAAATTACATATAATAATTGAGCCATACACTTTAAACAATAATCCACTAGCACGGTATATTTCTCTCTCTTTCCCCATGCTTCGGTTACGTTGGCAAATGGCAAGAACAGTGCAGTGATTAGCTTCCAATGAAATGAAAACCACATGCCGTGTCTCGTTCAAAGAAGAAGATCTAGTTTCTATAAAAAGAAGATCAGAAAACATGTTACTCATTTGGGTCCACATAAATATAATTAACTAAATCAATAATAACAACAATTAATATTGTGATTTTGTGACTTTTAGGATTTGATTAATGGAATTAATGTTGGTAAGAAATAAAATTACATTTTACATATATATAAAAATATGTAGGTCATATAAAGAGAAAATAAATAAATAAACCCCATACACTTATTTATGGAAAATTATACACTTATGTTTCATAAGAGTCCTCTCTCATTTTACACTCACATAAAAAGACGTATCTCTCTTTTCTTTTCTTTTTCTTTTTTTAAAAATTGGTGTACTCCACTTAATTTATCTCACAACATGAGATAATTTCTCTCATACAACATGAGAGAAGTAAAACCCCTTATTTATATATATATATATATATATATATATATATATATATACATATATATATATATATAATAAAATTATCTCATAAAACATAAAAAAACACTTATCCGTTGATTAATAATGTAAAAAGGGTTTGATGCAAATATAGTGAGATCTTTTTGAGAACAATAGGGGCCCAGCTACCTTTCTTTCAAAACTGTATATATAAGTTTTTGAAATTACACCAATATCTGATTTTGTGGGCCCATGAGCACATGCTATTGTTTATTCTTTATTTCCTTCTCTATCCACTTCTCCAGTCGTCATTGAAAATTCACAGGTTTCCTAATTCTCTCTTTAATTTTCTGGGACAATCTAAATTGTTTTAAAGAAGTTTACTTATGATCAAATTGATGATTAACGGCGTAAAAAGAGTAGTTTCAAGTTTCAACTAAAATTTTCTCTCTTTTAAGTCAATGACAAAAAACTCATTTAAATAAAGTTTATATAAACATAATTTTTGGTAAATTATGTTTATATAAACACAATTTTCTAATAAATTACTTTAATCATCTAATGCTTATTTGAACAATTATACTTACTACCACTAAATAACTAGCTAACAATGTAATTATACTAATTATTAATTCATGTAAAAATATGTGAATTAATAAGTTTCCATATATAAACATGATTAAAAATTGCTAAGATCCTTAATTATAAATTCATTTTATTCTTATTCGGTGTCTTTTAGAATTAGTTCATCTTTTGTAAAATTAATTTAAGAGAAAAAATTGAACTAAAAAGCTTTAGAATTTTAAAATATCAAAATACATTATTCGAAAAGCATATTGTTAAAAAATAAATTGATCTCTAAAAGAGAAAATACTTTTTCTCGACCTTTTTTTTCCCCCTGTAACTACAAATAAAAATTGTGAAATTTTAAATCAGGTATGTAAAACTACCTCAACTCAAAAAGACACAACGAACAAATATTACAAGCAACTCATGGTCATACAATTTGTATAACCGGTCACTAACAACAGTAGAGAGTGATTACCGAAGCAAAAGAAGATGGATAAGGAGGGCTTCTGACAGATTTTTAGTGGAGTAGCACATGAATGAATCGAATCAACATCTAAAAAAGAGAGATTCTAGAGACCTTGCACGTATGAGATTGTACAGTTGAGAATAGCTTATAAGAATTAATTAATATTATTTATACTAACAAGATGCATATATTTTTCGGTAGCCCATAATAAAAGAACTCAATAATTAAGCGTGCTTAACTTAGAGCAATTTTGGGATAGGTGACATCTTGAAAAGTTTTACCAGGAAGTATGTGAATGAGGACAAAGTACGCTGAAAAGTCTCGTGCCAGATTGTGGCGACAGTCATTGATCCTTGAAACGGTCAGGCATTACAAGTGGTATCAGAGCATGATTTCTCTCCCAGTATGGTGTGGTTCGAGTGGGCATATAACATCGCAGATGTAAAAGAGGCACGAATAAGGAGCGACTCCTACCAAGCTTACAGCGGAGGGATACATGAATGAATCGAATCAACATCTAAAAAGAGAGGAATTTGAGAGATTGTGTAAGTATGAGACTGTATAGCTGTGATAGCTTATAAGAATTAATTGGTAATACCTATATTAACAAAATATATCTACTTTTCGGTAGCCCATAATAGAAGAACTTCATAGTTAAACAAGTTTAATTTAGAGCAATTCTGGGATAACTTATAAGAATTAATTGGTACTATCTATATCCATAGAAAATATATCTAACAAATTTTACACAATCTCATTATAATTATTTTTTGTTCTTTTCTTTCGTTTTTCATTTTTTTACTTCATCTTATATTGATTTTTTTTTTTGGAGTTAACCCAATCTTAATTATTTCTTTGATACAAGTTGGCTCCACTAGTATCCCTTAATATTTTCACAAACTTCGACTATTTGAGATGGTTATGAGACTAATTCAGAATGTGAAGCAGATCAAAAATAAAAATATTTAAATCTCTCAAAAAAAAAAAATAACACGTGAAAGTGAAAGCAAAATCCTTTCCTTATTAGTTACTCCACTCCCTTATTACCTGAGCTACCATATTAAAATACTTTTACACAACATGTTTCTGTAAATAACATAACTCTTGCCCAAATGAAATCACATAAGATTTTGGAATCAGCTGAATGCATAACTAACAACATGCCATGTTTTGTCTCTCCTCATAATTGCGACCCAAAATAAAAGGGAAAAATTGCTACCGTCAAAGACGTAACTAGGCAGATAAGAGCAACACTGCAAAGGAATAGCGAAAAAGGGATAATAAAAAATGATGAAAAATATAACCACCGTCACCGACATCACAAAATAAAACAAACATTTTCAACAAAAATAAAAATAAAAATGATCTGCAACGTTATGTTTTTGACTTTTATCTTATTGAGAAGGAATTGAAATTTGGAACACTAGTTTAAACATGCCCACACCGCATGAATTGAGGAGAAAGAGGCGGTTATAAAAAACACAACTTTAATGAAAAATAGTGGGTCCCAATGGACTTTTACAACGTGATTTATGCTAAGTTCTGTCCATTATTATACCATTGGTTCTTTTCACTTTCAAGTATAAAATCTAAGTGAAGCTCCATCCCCTTCTCTTCCATACTGAGCCCTGCTCTTCCAGAGCACAAAACCCTATTCACCCTCTGTTCTTTTAGCTTCAGTTTTGCAGTGAAAATGGCAGCGACTCTTATAACTACACTCTGTTCGGCTTTGCTATTTGCTGCTTCAGCTTTTGCTGCTCTTCAGCCTAGAGTGCCAGAAGGTGATGTTCATATCTGAGACCCTTTTACTTAGATATATTGGAATGTTATAAACAGTAGATCTAATTTTATTCAGTCTATGCTACATTTTGCTTTTGCTATGGTGCTTGCTGCCCTTTTTACTTCAAACATGTTCTCTTGTTCTGCATTATCCACTCTCTCTCTCTCAGTTTCTGATAGTGGGCATCGTCTATGCTCAACCTGGTTTAGTCATAGAGTGTATTATACTTTAATGTGCTTGTTGGAGTGGCTCTATGGTTTCCATTCTTTTACATTCTTTGTGGGTAACCTTTAGATCTGTCCGTAATGTTGAGCAGTGAGTGAGTTAGAGAACGAGAGAGATCCTGTGCTTGGATCTGATTATCTACACTTAATAACACTATGTAATGAATCATTTTTAAGTTGTTAAAAGTGAAAGCCTCATTAATGATTCTATATTTCTTTAACATACCTACAAGAGCTCGTTGGGCTTAAAGCGTGTGAAGATAATGATTACTTGGTTATAGAGGATCCGATACCATATAAAGAAATCATTTTGACTCAAAAACTAAAGTTGTTAAGTGGAGGTCTTATTAATGGTTTTATAATTATCTAACACACTGGTTATGAAGTTTTGTGACTCTCTCTATAATTTTTATCTTGACAGCTTACCTCCAAAATGGAAACTTTGAGGAGATGCCAAACCCGAGAGACCTCAAGAAAACAAAACTCATTGGGAAATATGCTCTGCCCAAATGGGAAATCAATGGTCTGGTTGAGTATGTCTCTGGGGGTCCCCAACCTGGAGGCATGTTTTTCCCAGTGACTCATGGAATACATGCTGTGAGGCTTGGCAATGAAGCCTCAATCTCGCAGACCATCAAGGTCAAATCTGGTCAAATGTATGCTCTAATTCTTGGGGCATCTAGGACTTGTGCACAAGATGAAGTTTTGAGAATCTCTGTGCCTCCACAGACTGGTGATGTTCCTTTGCAAACCCTTTATAACCTCAATGGTGATGTTATTGCTTGGGGATTCAAGGCCACTTCTGATATTGCCAAAGTGACTTTCCACAATCCTGGAGTTCAAGAAGATCCAGCTTGTGGTCCACTTTTGGATGCCATTGCTATCAGAGAGTTCTACCCTCCAAGGCCTACAAGAGGTAAATGAAAGATATAGGAACCTAAATATTTGAATTTGAGCCAATACTACTTGGATATATTAGGGGAATCTTGCTTGTCTTTGAATATATTTTTTGTTTTTATAAATTAATGGCAACATAGATTTTTCTGCAGTTTTAACATCTGAGTTTGTTGGAATCCATGAATTAATCTGCTTGCTGAGTTTCTAGATGACAATTTTTTCCATGATCTATGGTATCTCAATCAAGATGCTATCTCTTTTATGTAAAAAATCATTTCAATCCAAAAGTGAAGGCTACCTTAATGGTTTTGTATTAGAGTTCTCCAACAATTTATATAATGTATATAGTTCAAAATTGAATTCCCAACTTAGCATTTATTTTGGAGTTTTGCTTTGCTTATATGATGTCTGGAACTCTCATTCTCTGATAAAACCATTCTATGGTCTCTTGCAGTTAATTTGGTTAAAAATCCTGGCTTTGAAGAGGGTCCATTCCCAATTTTCAACTCTACCAATGGTGTTCTGGTCCCTCCACAGCAGCAAGATCTCATGTCTCCACTCCCAGGTTGGATTATTGAATCCCTCAAAGCTGTGAAGTTCATTGATTCAAAGCATTTCAATGTCCCATTTGGGCTGGGAGCAGTAGAGCTTGTGGCTGGAAGGGAAAGTGCAATTGCCCAAATCCTGAGAACAGTTACCAACAAAGTCTACAACATTACATTTTCTGTTGGAGATGCCAAAAATGGGTGCCATGGTTCAATGATGGTTGAAGCATTTGCCGCAAAAGATACCTTTAAAGTTCCCTACAAATCTGAAGGGAAGGGTAGTTTCAAGACTGTGAGTTTCAAGTTCAAAGCAATTGCACCCAGAACCAGACTCACATTCTACAGCTCCTTCTACCATACCAGAATTGATGATTATGGATCACTTTGTGGCCCTGTTCTTGATCGAGTTATAGTGTTCCCTGTTGTTGCCTAAATGTGATTTTCACCTTATTGTAATACGTAGTAATGGAGATTTTTGCTAGTCACTTGAGCTTGTCTGTTGTATAATTGCATGAAGATGAAAGATATTATCAATTATTATTCAATCTTATGAATTAATCTCTCTTCTTTTTCTTCTTTAACTTTTTTTTTTTTAACTATCCTAATTTACGGCATTAATAAGTTCATTATTTTAATTTGCTCAGTTAAAGTAGTTTTCCATACAACATAGGTTTCCGTGCAAAACTAGACAAAAAATCGTAATTTTAAAAAATTTAGAGGTTGAAATATAATTTCAAAAAGCATAATAAACTATCAATATGTTAATATATTATTTTCCTATATTAAAAAAAGATTTGATGTTTCTTATACTGCAGGAGATAAAATTATCTTCTATATACGCATAAAGATGTGTGGGGCTTATATGGGTCATATGAAAAGAAAGGAGAATATGTTTCTTATGTTGTATAGACAATGTCTCATACAATACACAAAAAATTGGGTGAGACCCATTGAGGAGAAGAGAGAAAAAAAAAAAGTGTGTTGCACTCACTTTTTTTGTGTTGCATGAGACAAAATTGTCTCCTATAACATGATAAACATATTTCCCAGAGAGAAAGAAAATATAGGTCCCACACACATTTTATTTGTGTGTAGAAGATAATTTTGTCTTCTGCAACATGAGATACATTAAACCTATTAAAAAAAGAGGTTAACGTTTTTCTTGTAATAGAAGATAAAGTTATCTTATGCAACCCTTAAATGATGTTGTTTTGGGATTTGGCAAAGAAAAAAAGGTCCCGGTATTTTATAAAATTCATGATACAAAAGGAAAGTGAAATTATTAAAATACCTTGCATACCCCAAAACAACGTTGTTTTGGGATTGTTGGAGATAATTTTATCTCATATTGCATGAGAAATATTTTTCCCTTACAAAAATTCAAGAACTATATTATAATAATCTAGCTTATTGAAAAACCCTTTTACAAATACAAATAATAAGTAGAAAGAAGAGCTCTAGTGAAAACCCTAACAACAAGGCGAGGTTTGAGGAGGAAGATGATATTCACAGAGAGAGTACTAAGGGGACGAAAGGAGGCGACTTAAGTTTCTCTAATAGGACAACTCTAGTACCACATTAGGAGGGGTGGATAGCGGAGAACCCTTTGAGGAAAACTACTGGATGGAAGGAGGTGCTAATGAGACATACTAGAGAATACAAAAGTGGAGAGGATAATGAATCTATCATGGCTTCAGATGAGGAAGAGGAAATGCCTGATCATAATTGTGGGGAGAAGCAAGAAATCAACTGTATGGTGCAGGAAAATGGTCTTTTAAAATTCACTTGTTCCAAGGGTCTAAAGAGGTGCATTAGGGGAGAGTGGAAGCAGGCTTTGATAGTCAAACTTAGGGGAAAAAAGATAAGTGTCCAATTCACGAAGAAGAAGCTAGAAGTGTTGTGGAGTAAAAATGGCCCTATAAGTGTATCTGACATTGGAAATGATTTTTTCGCTGTTAAATTCTCCATGAAAGAAGACCCTTGGGAAGCACTGGATGGGGGATGGATTATCCTAGGACATTTATTTAGCCATTCAAAAGTGGCAACCCAACTTTTGCCCTTATGGTGATGATATAACTACTGTAGCTGCATGGGTAAGGATGCCTGACATTGCCTTGGAATACTATAGGGGGTGTTTGGTAGGAAGATTCTTTTGGGATATATGGGAAAGTGAGGGTGGGCATTCAATAATACCATGTTTGGTGGAACTTAAAAAAAATTGCTGGGAAAATTATATTGCTGGGAATTTTGTGTGTGCGTAATCTTAAACCAAATTCTCAAAGAAAAATACCACCTAGAGGGTGGGATTGTGATTTTGCCAGGTAAATGAAAAAGTTGATGCAAAAATTGTGTCAAAAATAACCCTGAGAAACCCTAAACAAATGTAATGAGAAAGGCAACGCTGCTTCAGAGAACAACTCTAAAACGACAATCCTTCTTCCGACGAGTTTAGCTGCTCAACCTTGAGGGAGACGACTGACGCTCGAACCTACCATCGGGTTTCTTTGCATTGTATGAACAAGATTTGCATGTCTTTTGTGTATATGGTTCCATTCTGAAATTTTAACTTTTTAAGCTGAAAAGATAATTTTTCTGAAAATAATTTTCTACTTTTTTTAGAAAAAAGCAAAGTTGAAAGATGACTATATTTTTCATTTTAATTATTTTTCGTTGTCCTATATATGATTATCTGGGTTCCGATTACATGTGAAGTGAATAAAATTTCGTTTTGTTAACATGTTCGTTTTGCATTAGAGTATGAACAAGGTCTGCATCTTTTCTTGTCAAAAGATGAGAGCCAAATTATGATGAATATTTAGAAAAAGTGGGGGTGTATTTTTAATATCACACCAAATTTCCAGTAATATTATATAATCAACCAAACACAGGCTTAATAAATTTCACCCAATATTCCCGGTAAAATTTTGGCCTACCAAATTATTTTTTTTAACTTTCCTATCTTACGATATTCCTAGTAATTGTATTTTCCTGGTAAAAAAAATTGTCTCCTCTACCAAACACCCCCTAATAGCAACGTCCTAAAATGGATGGAAGAACAATTCGGATTGATAAAACCACGTCATTACATTCCAGAGAGAGGTTTGTGTAACACCCCATGTGTACCCAATTTATTAACATTAATTATGGTATTAAGCACAACATAAATATTAATAAATCAATAATAAACTAATCTTACTATGTTAGCTATATATGTAACTTAGTCAATTATTCTTTTCCATGAAAAAGGAGTAAACTTTTTACTTTTCTCAAACATGGAATTTAATCCTGTAGCTTGAAATAGCAACTAAAAACATAATAGAGTCCATAAGTCCTTCGATTGAAGAACAATCAAAATAAACACTTTATTTCCAAATTAGGCATTGAACAACCCTTACTATTTTTAAAATTGGTATTTTCTCTCTTTACCATTAATTATAATATTTTACTATGTAAAAATAGACATCTAAAGCTTTTCAAAGACATATTATATGTTTCAATTGGTTTTGTACATATCGAGTTATGCATATTGCAAGCCATCGCTTCAAATCGGACTCCCAAAAACAGGACAACAACTTCAAACTATAACTGAGATTAATCCACTTATCCAAAGGTCCTAATATTTTGAATAGTTATAGATCTTCGAGTTAGCTCTAATAGGTTCAAGCCCCATTCAATTTGGAGCTCTCTAACTCAAATTATGCCAATTTTACTAAAGGGGGTACAATTTGTCTTCGAGCACTTAAGCGTGCTAAGACAGAACGCAAATCCCTATTTTTTGCCCAGGAGCGCGCTTAAGCATTATCCACCAGTGGAAAACACATTTTCCCCCTGTTCTGACAACTCTTAGTTTCCAAACCAAGTTTTCTCCTCCCACCTAATTGACATTTTCTCATATAAAATGCATAAACCTAGCCATCCAAAAGCTAAACAAGCAATATCCATAAATGGATTCATTAACTAAGGCTTCAAGCCATCAATTAACATCAAATACATTCATATACTTGAATTCCAATGCAAGATGTCCTAAGTCTCATATACATATCATTTGCCACTTGAATCACAAAATATGGTGCCTAAACTCGAATGAAAGTACATATGCCATAAGTACAAGCTTGTAACCAAAATAATACAAAAATTTTGTAAAACATATGGCTATACAAAATGCTCTCCTCAAAATAATGGTTCTATTATGCTTCTGTATCAATGAAGCTAGTAAAAACATAAGGGTTCTCATGCCTAAGGTAGTTAAACATGAGATTTTACGTAAAAACGAAAGGGAGATAAAAAATCATAGAATGTAAAATCGTAACGTAAAAAAAAGGTAAAAAATCATAAAAATGTAAAAGTGCTTGGAATATTGGTAAAAATATTTCGATAAAAAAAATAAAAAAACGTAAAAAAGCAGTGGTAAATCAAGATTTTAACTACATTCTCATACCTTATGCAGACATTTTGCCTTGCGAAGTTCCACCTCTTTTACATGGAGTACCTGAAACATGATCCCTATACGAGATGAAATAATTATTTCAATAAATTTAGTATCCTTGGAGGATTCTTCCACCCACAAGTTCACTTCCTACAAGAAGGGTTAATACACATGGCATATCAATCATCATACAAATAGAGGCAATATAAAATTAATTTCACTTATGCACCCAGTACACTAAGATCGCTACAATAAGTCGTACTTGAAAGCTAGGGTCCCTATGGAACGAAATCCCATATGTAATGCCCAACATGTGAAGAGTAATGATCAATAATGATAATTCATTTGCTCTGTTTTTTATATGACATGACCATATTATGTGACTTGGCCATAAATAATGAATATACTATCGTAATATAATATAGTTATATTAAATAAAACAAAATAATATGTAATTCCCTTATCAATACAAATTTTTGGCTTTTTGACCACTTTATTCCAATTAATGAAATATATCACCAGTTTAATCCTTTTGGCAAATTATTTACCAATGCTAGTGAAAGTCGCACGAGGAGTGTGCGCATTTAAGTCATGTATCTTTTCATCCGCGATTTATGCAAAAATCGACCAATGCAAGATGTGCATCTTGACAATATGCGTTCAAGTCATGCACGCCTCCGATGCGCGTCTTGCAAAGCATAATTCGTGACAAATATTTTTTGAATTTTATACAAATTGTGTATGGATTGATGTGCGATTTAAACACATATACTTTCCTTATGCATTTTATTGGCAGTTGATATACCTGCTCAGCTGCAAGTGATTAGTTATTTTGTTTCTTTCATTCTTTTCTGTTAGTTATTTTATTTATAGCCTGGGCTTGTTTGTTAATTGGGCTTACTTTAACTGGGCTTTTCTTTTCAATTAGCAGTAGGTGGTACTATAAGTAACTACCTTTAGTGTAAAACATAATTTACTTTCACTTTCTTCAATAATGAGAATTGATTCAGATTCTAAGATGGTATCAGACCTCTTCACGGAGCTCTGATATTGAGCCATC